TCTGTTTTTTGGTTCTGTTTATTTTTTAATTTAAATCATTTTTTATTTTTTAATTACGGCTGACATACAATATCACATTAGTTTCAGGTGTGCACCCCAGTGATTAGACGTTACATAACTCAGTGATCATCCCAGTAAATCTTGCGCCCACCTGGCGCCATACACAGTAATTAGAATATTCCTGACTGTATTCCCTGTGCTGTGGTTCACACCCCCGTGACTATTCTGCAACTACCAACCTGTCCTTCTCCATCCCTTCACCTCTCCCCCCCCCTCCCATCTGGCAACAGTCAAAATCTTCTCTGTATCTATGAGTCTGTTTCTGCCCAGCTTGTTTATTTTGTTTTCCAGATTCAGCTGTTGAGAGACATGTATTCATCGCCCTTTTGTTGTTCATATTTTTTTATTAGTATTTTTCTTCTCTTTAAAGATGAGCCTTTCACATCTCCTGTGAACGGCGGGTGGTGATGGACTGCTTTAGCTGTTTCCGTCTGGGAAGCTCCGCCCGAGTCCCTGAGACGTTGGCCCCCAAGCAGTTCCGCCTGTTGCCCTGAAACAAAACCCAAGACGAAGGACGGGCAATGGAGGGAGGGACACGCCGTTACCCAGTCCGCGGGCTCGCGGCCGTTTGTAGTTTCACTCGATCTTCTTTGCCTTCCCTCCGGACACGCGTGAAAGGAAACAGGGCTTGGGAGGGCCGGGCCCCCGCCCTGGACCGAAGCGCGTCTCATGTGCTGTTTCATTTTCCCATCACGGCAGCCGCCTGTCGTTAGTCACACTAGGACTCCCACCTGCTCACCCGGGTCCCCAGAGCCAACACCTGGTGGAGCAGCAGATCCCACGTCGCGGCCCCGGGACCGCTGGGACAGAGCCCCCCGGGTAGGAGAGTGAAGCCCCTGGGACTGGGGCCCAGGGAAGGGGAATGAGAAAATCCAGGGCCACAGGAAATAGAAGAGGGATCAGAGCCCGGCCGGTGTGCTCAGTGGTGCAGGGTTGTCACAGGCACCCAGAGGTCGCTGGTTCGATTCCCGGTCAGGGCACATGCCCAGGGAGCTGGCTTGACCCCTCAGTAGGGGGCGTGCAGGAGGCAGCCGATGGGTGATTCTCATCGATGTTTCTGTCTCTCTTTCCCTCCCTTCCTCTCTATAAAATCAATAAAAACATATCAAAAGAAATAATAGGGATCAGAGAGGACAGCCAGCTCCTGGGGTACAGAGGGGTCCCTGGATGCCAGGGGGAGGAAGCAGAAAGGAACACCCCCGTGGCTACAGGCTCGCACCTGCTGGGCATGTGGGACGCGGGCCCACCTGCCTACGTGCGGAGTCCCGGCTGAGACCTGGCAGCGGGCCTGGCCCAGGCTGGACGGGTGAGCAGTGTGCTTCGTAGCATCCCCACGGGCTGTGCTGTTCGCTTGGCTGTCCTCAAGGTCGGGAAGGGCCCTGAGGAGACGGGTTTCCCTCGGCTCAGGGGGATCTGGCTGAGCCATGAGGACAGCACTGTCATCCCCTGTGGCAGGCGACCGACTCCCAGAAGCCTGCTCCGCTGAGGCCACACCCGAACGCCACGCCTCCGGCAGAGGACGCAACACGGACGTCCAGGCCAGGCTCAGATCTCGGTCAGCCACGGGAGCCGCTGTGTGGTCTCGGGCAAGCTGGGAAACCTCTCTGAGCTTCATCATTAAGCTTTAGTCTCCTCAAGTGCGCAGAAGACAAGCTGATCCGCCGTGCGGGGTTTCAGGCAGCGCCCTTAGCACAGGGCCTGGCATGGGGTGTACAGGGCTCGGCAGCCGCTGGCACTGTTACCAGCTGAAGGTGGAGACCCCGTGATAAGTCTCAGGGGAGGAAGGGAAGCCCTGGAGGGGGCTTGGGCAGAGCCCCCTGCCTGTGATTTGGGGTGGAGATGGGGCTTGACTATATCACAGGGACCTTTCATACCCCTCCCAAGGACCCCAGTCTCAAATTCAGGGATTCACAAGACTGGAGTCAGTAGATGGAGGAAAGATAACCCCTCCACGTGACGGGGAGACTGTGATGAGGGCCGGGTGGGGGGGCCCCAGGCGGACCAGTTGCTCGGAGAGACCCAGGAGGTACAATCTTTGGCTGGGTGTACCTCTCCCCCAGTGGCATCACTGAGGGCCGGTGCCCCCCTATTCCCCTGCCCTGGTAGGTGGAACTCACTGCCCCCATCAGGGAGCTCTCAGGGTGTCGGCGTCAACAGGGGAGCCAGAGATGGGAGTTAAATGGGATGTTGATGGAACAGGTTTGATTTCTTGCCGGCAGCCGCCAGCACCTCCCTCCCCCTCTGGTGACTCCTCCTTGCTTTCTCTGACCCAAGGTCTTGGGAATTTCCAGCTCTGGAACCAGCCCTTGCTTCAGCACAGATGTCTGCTGTTGCCGTTGGGAGCGACATGGTCGGGCCAGGGTCAGATAGTCTTAGGGTTGGGGTGAAGGGCAGAGGCCCCGAGGAGGTCCCCTTCTAGTTATTTTCCCTCTGGGAATGGAGAAGACAAAATATTTTAAAAACAACAGTTTCAAAACAAAACAGTCTCAGCCTAGCTTCGCTCATGGTTTGTTGCCAACTGTGATAACTATAGAAAAAAGATAAAATATTGTCGCTTTTCCTTTAGTACTTTTATAGGGCTGGTGAGTCAAGGTGGAATTCAACCACAACTTATGCTGCTTGGATTATGAAAAAATATCTCCCCTGGATTCGAGGGAAAACGTCTCTAAAGCGACGCCGTCCTCTCCTCAGAAACCGTGGCTGGCTCCCGCTGCCCACGGAGAAAGTCTAGGCTCCCAGGCCGGGCTCGGCCACTCCGCCAGCTCGCAACCCGCACAGGGAGGCGCGTTGGGGTCAGCGTGGTCCCTCCACGCACCCACCTCCGAGGGGGACTGCAGGCCCCAGACGGGAGTAAAAATGGGGTACCTGAGGTTTGCGCCCCGGCTCCAGCAGCGGCCTGACCACGAGCTCTCTGGAAGGACAGCTCCCGGGGGGCGGGTCTGCTTCGCCCCCTCACAGCCACTGTCCCGAGGCTGTTCCTTCCTCTCCCTGCGGCAGAAGGGGCCTCACCGGCCTGGGAGCTGGGGCGTGAGTCTGAGAAAAAGAGCCTCTGCTTGGCTTCCCCTGGCACTGGGTTGTGGCGCATGACACTGAGCCAGCCCGGCCTGGTGACGGGCGGGGTGGAGGCCCTACTGCCCCTCTGCTGTGGTCCGAGCTGGCGAGTGGGCAGCCTGGCCGTGGCCCGCCCTGGGGTGAGCTGTGCCCTGGAGCTGTCCTAGGCATAAACAGAAGCCGTGGTGCCATTACCAAGGGCCTGTCCCCCAGGGGGCATGCACACACCCGCACACACGCCTGTGCACACGCATGCCCACTCGGGCCAGGCTATCCCAGGGGCAGCAAAGTGGAACCAGCCCTGTAACCAGAAAGTCTGAAGTTGGCATCCCGATCCTACCATTTCCTGGCTGCTGGGCCTCAGTCTCCTCTTCTGTAAAATGGGATAACAGTAGCCACCAGCTCAGAGGGGGGCTGTGGGGTGTGGGTGCTCACAGGGGGCTCCTGCTATGACTAGGTGATGGGGCACGTTGGCGTGAGCAAGGTCCCTGGAAACGGGGCTGACGGCCCCCATGGCTAGGAGATGAGCACTGAAGACCCCCCACAGGTGTCCCCGATGGGTAAAGTACGGGGACTGGGAAGGGATGAAAGCTCCGAGGAAAAGGCAAGAGCAAGCCAGGAGAATGGACGGCTGAGCAGCCCCAGTGGGTAGTCATGGGGGGTGGGGGGCAGAGGACAGCTTGGGGCAGGATGGCAGGCTGGGGGTCGAGCTGGATGTGGGAGGCTGTGGCCTGGGCTGAGGGGTGCCACCAAGGCTTCAACCCTGAATCTGGGGGAGGGGAAGCACACCTCTTTGTGTCACCTTGGAGAATGCCCCTGCCAGTGTCCCCTGTCCTAGGACCTCTCCCCACGGGAATGTATACAGGAGACTCTTAGGGCTGAATCAGACCTCCGCTGGCCTGGGGAAGGGCTCGGGGCCCCTGGGTGGTGGGCAGAGGCATTCTCAGGAGCCACTTAGGGAAGGAAGCACAAGAGAAATTGGAATGAAATCTGAAGTGATGGCTGCAGACTAGTGTCCCTGGTAGTGTCCCCTCCTAGGCTGCGTCTCTCGGATGCTGTGAGTGTGGGCTCCTCGGGCCTGGGCCACACTGCAGTGCCAGGCCTGCCACCCACCGCACACGAATGGCCCCATAAACACACCCGGGAGCCGACTCTGTGCCCCGCCCCCTCCCCATCACCCACGGGAGGTCCCTGCTCCCCGAGGGGCAAGGGCCCAGAAACCCCAGCCCCATTTTCCCTGGTCCCTTTAACGAGCCCGGAGCAAGTATTTTTGGAAAGAGTAATGAAGGTTTTCAGGAAATGGGGGGCAGGGTGAAATATATTGCTGCCGCCACATATTTGTGGTTGGCTTGTTTTTATTTTTAAAATAATTATGCTGTTGGATTCCATCATTTCTCACTGTGAAAGTGACCAGCTCTGATGGGCTTGGAGTGTGTGGTCTGGAGCCAGGAGTGGCCATTTAAGCTGAGGTTTGGGGAGGTGAGATGTTGGGGTGCAGATCCAGGGGAGGGGAAAGCGAGGAGAGGCAGGTGAGTGAGAAGGAACATCCCTCCCCATGGGGACTTGTCAGACGCCCTGTTTCACAGAAGGAGAAACTGAGTCTGAAGGGGCTCTTGACCTGTCTCCTGAGGCCCCGGATGCCTGCTCTCCCCGAGTCGGGCTGTGGGCCCACATGGGGGGCGCTGGGGTCAGTGTTCAGGGTGGATCTGAAGGCAGCGGTGCCCGGGTGGCCACGGACTGCAGTGTGGGGCCAGCGGCTCGGGGAGCAGGTTCTTCTTACTGACGACCCGACTGCTCCGGGGCGCGCCCCAGTCCCAGCCTCCCCCCTGCCCTCTCACCCTGGGGTGGGCGGGCTCAATTCTCCTTCTCTCGTGGTTCCTGTCCTTCTCAGCTGTGAATCCGGGCCCTCCAGGGGCACAGGGCATGGGGCCCCCACCCGGCTGGATACACGGCACAGGGGCCTGCCCTGCAGGAGGAGGGGCGAGCAAGCGAGGCTTGCGGGGGGCCAGCCCCACC